TCATGTTCATATAATACAGTTTGTTCATTCATTTCCCAGTATAGTCATCCAATTAGAATCTAGTTTTGTTTTGAGTTTTTTTGTTTTTTGCTTTTGCTTTTTTGCTCCTCTTAATCTCCTCTTCAAGCTTGGGAAATTTTTTCATTTTTAAATATTTACTTTCTTGTATCATCCTCCCTCTTACCCTGTCTCTGTCCTTGCTTCTTTCCCTGTTGAATTTTATGTGTTTCTACACCTATGTATATGTTTGTGTATTCAACTTTTCTTGGTCTATTTCAGATTAAGTTCATCTGATAACAGATGCCTGCTCCTCTCACTCCTTCTGCCATGTTTGCATATTCTTCTCACACACCCACCCACTTTTGAAAATATCAAGTGCCATCCCCTTCTTCCACTTTTTTTACACTGATGTGTTCCTTTTACCTTCTATTCTTATTCTTATAAAAAACTAGAGGAATATACTCCCTTCATAATAGAGCTTCTTAACCTGGTGTTTTAAAAATATTTTGATAAAATATTTTGTTTTAAAAAATATTTTGACAATTGCATTTCAGTGTAACTTGTTTCTTTTCCAATCCTATGTATTTTATCTTATGCATTTAAAAATATTATTCTGAGAAGGGCATCATGGGTTTCCCCAGATTGCCAAAGGGGTCCATATCACAGAAAAGGTTAAGGACCCCTTGCTCTATACTGTTTGAAGAAACTGAAGTTCTAAGGGATGAATTTCTTCTCCCTGTATTAGAATGTTAGCACTACCTCATCATATACCTTTTTCTAACTGCTCAAATAACCTTATCTTTCTTCATTTCTCTTGTGTCTTGTGTTTATATTTCAAAGTTCCTACTTAGCTATGGTCTTTTCAACAGAAATGCTTCAAAGTCCTCTATTCCACTAAAAACCTATTTTTTTCCACTTGTAGGCTTACACTTGACTTTCAAGGCTTTCTTTGTTACAAGTCTGTATATTTTGCCTTTTGGAATATTGTATTCCAAGATCTTTTCTTGTTTACAGTAGAAGCTTTCAGGTCTTAAGTGATCCTGACTGTGGTTCCTTGGAACTTAACTCCTTCTTTCTAGGTGTTTGAATATTTTCTCATTGCTGTGGAGGCTTTGAATTTTGGCCATGACACTGCTGGGATGTTTTCTTTTGGGGTTATTTTTAGGAAGTGATTGGTGGATTCTTTCTATCCACTTCTGTCTCTGGTTCTGATAAATCTAGTAGATAAACTTTGCATATATAATTTCTTGTGATGTTCTGTCCAGGCCAAAAAAATAATGATTTTGAAGAGTCTAATGGTTTTTAAATTATCTCTTCTTAATTTGTTTTCCAGGTCAGTTGTTTTTGATATCAGATATTTTACATTTTCTTCTGGCTTTTTTTTTCAATCTTTGTCTTTTGTTCTAACATTTGTTTACATCTCATTGTTGTTATGTTTGGTCTGTTCTAAGTTTCAGTGAGTCCAGTACTTGGGTGTGATTTACTGCTTTCTAGTCTAACCTATTCATTCTCCAATTTTTTTTCTTCTAGAACTTTTACTTCATCTTTTAAATATTTTTTTTCCTTTCTTCAAGGTATTCATGCAATCCCTGTAGAAAATTCATTTTTTCCCTTAAGTTTTGGTTTGCACTTGTTATGTCAATACCCTCTCTGGGTTAGATTTTGGGGTATCTGTAGATTTATAATAATCAGAGTGGTTCATGCTTTCTTTGGTTTACTTATTTCTCCAGCCTTAGTGCCTGAATTGGAGCTCTGTGCCAAAGTTAGGGTCAGTTACTACCCCCGCTGTACTTTTGGATGGGGATGGTTGTCCTTGTTTGGTCTAAACCTTAGTCCCCTGACTCCCTATGCTGACTTCTACCTCCAGGATTTAGGCCTTGCTGAATTGTTTAGATTCAGACTGCAGAGTCTATGATTATCTTAGGACAAAGGATTTGGCAACTCGGAGCTTTACATTATGCTGGTCTGGGTGCTGTTATGCTCATACAGCTTGCTGCTACTCCCAGTGCCTTCAACTTAGCCCTACTGGGTTTCCCAACACATTGGAGATTTCTTAGAGGGGCTCTTTTTTTATGACTGCCTCTAGACCCAGGACCTTATAGGCTACATGTATTTCTAGTCCATCTCAGGGCACACTGTAAGGCTGCCTTCTTATTTGACTGTGTGGGTTTTAGCTTTGCTTTCTAGCTCCTTTCCTATCAACTATGAGCTCTTTTAGTTCTGGGACCAAGAAGTCTCTAACTTTAGTTTCTCCATAAGATTTCTTGATCATTATTTGGATTTTTCCATTTGTTTTGTTTTGTTTTGGGCTGGTATAGGTGTGGGGGTATTGATCTGGGGAATTTTGTTTTTTCTTGAATTGTATTGTCCAGCTTTCTTTTTCTTGGCCATGGTTTTCAGGATGTCCAGTGATTCTTTTTTTTTTTTTGGCCTTTTTTTTCCCCTTGGTCAGGCAGTCAGGGTTAAGTGACTTGCCCAGGGTCACACAGCTAGTAAGTTTCAAGTGTCTGAGCCAGGTTTTAAACTCAGGTCCTCTTGACTCCAAGGCCAGAGTTCTATCTACTGCCCCCAATGTCTAGTGATTCTTAAATAAACTTTCATTGACCTGTTTCATTGAGGTCATTTGTTTTTGATAATTGATACCTTACATTTTCTTCTTTTTTTTCAATCTTGACTTTGTCCTAATATTTCTAATTGTCTCCACCAAATTCACATCATTTTTTCATCAGCAGTCAGTTCCTCCCAGCTGATGGAAATCACACCCAGAGTAGTGGTTCCCCCCCTTTACACTTTCTTTAACTCTTGAAGGCTGAGATTATCATTGAGGCAAGTCAAGCAATTTATAGTTGTGATGCTTCTTTCCTATCTATAGAGAGCTCCACAGATTATTGAGTCATTGAAATTCCCATTACTACTATATCAACCCCCCATGGCAGGTTTGCCAATCTGCTTTCCCTAACTCATTTATTTTCTTTATGTCCAGTTGCTATGTTGAATACTCCAGTGACAAAATTGCTTCTCTTTCTGCCAATATTGATCTTCTACCAATTGTTCTCCACTAAAGAAATCCTTCTGTTCCTTAGATTTCCCTACATGAGTATATCTCCTTTTCATTCTCTTCTAGGGGAAGCATTCACTTTGAACATAGTAGGTTAGTTGGCTATAACCAAGAAACAGTTGTTGTGTACTCTATGCAGGTCACTGGAAAACCTCCTCAATTCTCTGTACTTCCCAGAAGTTAGATCTTTAGTTCTTTCTCTTGCTAATGTTTCTAGTGTTCAGCTCTCCTGGAGAACTGCTAAGAAGCTAATGAAGGGTTTTGAGTGAGTGTATCATGTCTGTGCACTAGGAAGAATTCTCCAGCAGCAATGTGAAAGAATGGAGTGAATATAAGCAGATCATTTAGATAATTGCAGTAGTCCAATTGAGGGAGATATATTCCAGAAATATATTTTGGAGGTAGAATCAACAGTACTTACAAGTGATTTGATGTAGCTAGAGAAGGGGATGGAAATACCTAGGACGTAGTTGAAAATTCAGAATTAGAATTCTGAGGAGATATTGTGGATGGAGATAATAGATTTGAGAGTCATCTACATAAGAAACAATACTTAGAGTCCTAGGAATAGAAGAGATTATCAAGGAAGAGAATGGCTGGAGAGAATAAGACAGAGCCTTGGAGGACCCCTACACTTTAGGATGTGATGAGAGAAGACTTAGGAAAGAACTTTATCATGGAGCCAGAGTAACAGGGTGGAAGGGACCATCAATCATGAATGCCACAGAAAATTCCAAGAGAGTAAGGACTGAGAAAAGGCCAGTGGCCTTGCAGATAATGAGTGATGTTGGAGAGAGTTAAGGGTAGTTATAGTGAAAAAGTCAGATTGTGGGGTTTTGAGGAGGGTGTAGGTGGTGAAATGGAAGCAACAAGAATAGGCTGTTCTTTATAGATGTTTGGCTGTGCATGGAATGAAAGCTACATGACAATAGGTTGAGGGAGTGTGGGAAAATATTTTATTATATTGTTCTGAAAACCCTATTAATTGTTATATTGTTTGAACCTAGCTTTGTGTGGCAAGAAAATTGTCTAACCCTAAAACTTATCATAGAGGTCAGGCTGAACTCAGAGATGCTCCAGGGACGCCCTAATAGCTGTAAGGGATGCTTAGATCCCACCCTTTGCTTGTTTTGGATTCAGGTCCTGTTTTGGGTGCACCCAAAACTTGTGTTTTAGTTTCCACCCAAAGACTGTGTTTTGGGTTCCCCAAATTAGCTTGAATATTTATACTTGCTGATCTATATCTTTTTTTTTTGAGGGGTGGGGCGGTAATCAGGTAAGTGACTTGCCAGGGATCACACAGTTAGTAAGTATCTGAGGCCGGATTTGAACTCAGGTCCTCCTGACCCCAGGGCCAGTGCTCTATCCACTACACCACTTAGTTGCCTGATATATGTCTATAAATCTCAAACTGCCCTCCTCTGGAAACTACCTACTGCCTATGGGTGACCAATCAGGCAAATGTCGTTATGCCCTTGTCTCAACATTTTTCTGCCTCTCTCCTTTGCCAAATGACCTGATAAAAATCTTTCTAAAACTATTTCAGATTTTAGGGTTTGTAACTAACAGGAGTAACAGGTAAAGAGAGAGAGAGAGAGAGAGAAGAGAGGAGGTATGGAGTTGGGGCCTACCTCCTTCAGGTAGATTGTAAAATCTTAGTTTGTAGAAAAAAAATTTTTTAAATATATCTTTATATTCTCAGGGTCTAATGTATACAGTAAGGGTTCATGTTTGCTGGATAGCAACACTCACTGACATTTGAAACCTACTTCCTGCTGTTCTATTTTTATAGTTAAAATAGTAAGTGGTCAGCCTTGTCTTGAGATTAAATTATTCTAGTTATTTTAATGTTTCGTCAAAGGTCTTATTTCTCATCTCCTTAGCAATTATGCCCAAATTAGAAATATAGCTCTAATGTATCATGCTGTATTTGTTTTTCTAGCTGAAATACCTGCTGACAAGTGTTTGAGTAAGAGACATTTGGCCTCATAATGTCTCTTTGTGCATCTTCTCACAAGGAGTTTTCTCAGCTGCTTCCCATTCAAGATATTGGGTGTAACAAAGCCGAGATCAAAAGTTCACCATCTGGCCTTAGTTCTCCTGCTCCCTACAACTGCAGCCAGACTGTTCTGGAGCACAGTCCTCTTTATATTCCTTCATCTTATGTTGAAGGCTGCCATGAGTATTCAGCGATGGCCTTCTATAGTCCCACTGTGATGAACTACAGTATTCCTAGCAATGCCAATGACTCGGAAGGTGGAGCCGTCAGACAGACAACCAGCCCCAGTATATTGTGGCCAACTGCTGGACACCTTTCACCTTTAACCCTGCACTGCCAGTCATCACTTTTATATGCAGAACCCCCAAAAGGCTCCTGGTGTGAAGCTAGAGCAGTGGAACATGTGTTGCCTGTGAGCAGGTAAGCGGACTCTTGCCTTTGATTTGTTTTTGTTGCTACTGTTTTATATGACTCTGTTTTAGTTAATATAAAGCAGTTTACCTATTTTTAAAATTTCAGTGGTGCATCTTTCTCTTTTCTGCCTGTATAAATTCTATGCATTCTTCCAGAACTAGCTCTACTCCTGTTGCTTCCATTAAATCTCGTTGATTCCCCTTTCCTTTAAACTACCAAAGTTTTTACAGTTAGTGTGCTACGCTATTTAGCACTCAGTTATGTATTGTTTACTGTGTACTGCTGTTTCACATATAAGCCTTGTCTTTCCAGCTGGATCATAAGTTTTTTAAGGGCAAGAGCATAACTTATTTTTCTTATTCCATCTGTCTAACAGAGTATTAACAGAGCACATAGTAGGCAGCCAATAAATGGTCTTTTGGCTGATTTCAGTAGTACACGTTAACTTACTAGAAAGTGAACTGTAAGTAAAAGTGAACTCTCAGCGTGACTTTTGGGGCACCTTATATACAGTATGTATAATATTATATATAGTTATATATACTATATATAGCTATTATGTATAATGCTCTCACTATATTACATATAAGGTATGTATATATTATATGATATAGAGGGATCCACTTTAAGAAAAAGCTGTATTACAGTGGGTGAGTCTTTTTTACATAATACAATACTTTTTTTTTTTAATATGCATTGACTCTTCAGAGCCTTAATTCCTTCATCTGTAAAGTAAGAGTAATACCAGTATTGTATACAGTCTTTAAGTGGTGCAAGTTTTTAATAGCTTTGGTGTTTCTACCCCCTGATTTTCCCTACTGGATTGTTTTTTTCTTTTTTGACATGATTGTCCTTTGACTGTGTTCTCTAAAAGACATAAACTCTGTAAAATCATGTGAGCCTTCTTTTGATCTGAAATATATTATTAACCATTGGAGTCTGCTGTAAATCTAACTATTCCTACAGGCAGAAAACTCTTGTTTCCTTAAGTATTATTATCTAGGCTTTCATATGTAATTTGAAGTGTATCATTTATTAGAAGTGTCAAGCTCACCACCAAAGGGCTGCTGTGGGGCCTATAAAATGTTTAACAACATGAATGAAAATACAATGCTACATTTATTGTTGTTTAGTCATATCCGTTGTCTCTGACTCTTTGTGACCCTACTTGAAGTTTTCTTGGCAGAGATCCTGGAGTAGTTTGCCATTGCCTTATCTAGCTCATTTTACAAATGCAGAAACTGAGGGAAGCAGGGCTAAGTCACTTGGTCAGGGTCACACAGCTAGTAGATGTCTGATGCCAGATTTGAACTTGGGTCATCCTGACTATAGGCCCACACTACCCACACTGCACCACCTAGCTGCCGTAGTACAACACAGATAATGTTAATTTGTGATTTTCTAAGTCAACATGAGGCAAGAAAGGATGTCTTTCTATTTCAGTTTGACACCATTAAATTTTAGACCTCTGGTTGATTGTCAGACTTTCATGGCAAATTTGTCACATGAGTCCTTCACCAGACTTAACTTGTAATTGCCAGGCTACAGTTGGTCTTATGAGTATCACTGCTACCACTTCCAAACAGTTTCTTGGAGATTCATCATTATCATCTTTTTGGTATTGTATTAGAAGGTAAAGCCTTGGGTAAGGTAAATTGGGACATTAATTCATGGAGCAATCTGGAATTATGCCCAAAGAGTTACTAAACTGCCCATACACACCCAGCAATACCACTACTAGGTCTGTTTCCAAAGATGATTGGGGAAAAAGGAAAAGAACCTATATGTTCTAAAATGTTTGTAGCAGCTCTCTTTGTGGTGACAAAGAACTAGAAATGGCAGGGATGCCCATCAATTGAGGAATGGCTGAACAAGTTGTGGTGTGTGATTGTGATGGAATACTACTGTGCTGTGAGAAATGATGAGCTTGATGATCTTAGCAAAATAAATTGTAAATAAAAAAAAAGAAGCTAAAGTCTGGAAATGAGAGCTAGGCAAGGACCTAGTGAGGGGAGAATGGTTCAGATGGTATGTACATAGCTACCACCACCAAAAGAATATTTGAATCCTGCAGTTCTGGTTTCCCTGATCTCGAAACACCCTCAAGAATTCTGCCCTTCTGCCCTCAGTTTGAGAAATATTTGTTTGGAGATAGTTATGTCTACTGATCCTTTCTCTGCCCCACCTCCCCCCAAGCATTCACATCTGCTGTAGCCTTGTTAAAAGAGAGTGCTATGAGTAATGATTTTATTTTATCTCTTCAGCTCACTAATTGAAATCTATGCATCACTGGCATTCCTATATTAATTGGTTCAGGCCAGTTATCTCTTTGATATGTCAGTATTTTGGAATTTTATTTCCATTGAAAGTGACAGTGATATATGAATTAGCTTCTTAATTCTAGTGTGAAAGGTGAAAAAAAAATTAGGCTTTATTTTCCTTTCTAATTTTTTTTAAACACAGGCCCCATGGTAAAGTAGAGTGAATTTGGAATAAAGGAAATATGGATTCAAGTCCTTTCTTCCTACCTAACAGTTGTATGAAATGAGCAGTTCTCTAAGACTAAAAGTTATGGATAGATTGGGAGTTCCCACATAGGAAATACACTGTGTATAATACAAAGTAAAATGAAAAATAAGTTCTTACCCCAGAGGCAGACGAGTACAGTGCCCCCTCAGTTTCCTCATCTGTAAAATAAGGGGGTTAAGATACATGGTCTCTGAGGTTCCTTTCTGCTGTAAGTCTATGGACCTGACCAATGCCGATAGCTAATTCAATTAATTTAGATTCTAGAATGATTTGAATTTTTTTTAGCCTAAATGACCTTATTTGAAATTATACTTCGTCATAATCATGTAGTTCTGTACAAGGCAAAGCAAAATTAATGAGGCAAATGTCTGTGTGTCTGTAAATTTCAATCAAAACTACTACTGAGAGATAAGGTGATTTGTTTGCATCTCTGATCCAAACAGGTAGTTGTAGGTAGTTAGTTAATTTGAATTCACTTTATCAGCTGACATATGCAACCTTAGAACTGTGTAGACACAAACTAAATGTTGGCTTGACTTTCTTACATTTAAACCTTCAGATTTTATTTGTTTTAAAAACCTTCCCAAGTAAAAGCTGTTAAATAAAACAGACTCACAATATTTTAATCTTAATTCAAATTAGCAATCTAGACCAAAACCAAGGTCTCTATTATGATTGCTTTCAGAGAGCAAGGATTAGACACAAGTCATTTTTCTCTTGATGAAGATATTTGGGCTTGCAACAAAACTATTTCTCTCTCATTTGGGGTTCTTTGGCTTCCACTAGTAAAGAAAGTGTGACTTGGTATTCATGAACCTTTATTTCCATGGCAACAATTATAGTAAAAGTATGACTTCAGTAAAATATTAGGCATGAAGATAGAAAAGGAAATGTTTTGGCTTTTTTTTTTTACCATGAACCTCTGGACTAAAGTAATAATGTAGTCTTGTAAAAACAGATGAAGATCTGGATGTTTAGATGTTAGAGTAAGTTTTGAAACTTTCCTAAGCTTTTAATAATTCTGTGCATTCAAATATAGGGGAATTTAATGTATTTCTTCCATCTCTGTCACAATTTTGTTATTGATTATGGTTGTCTACCTATGTAAACATGACATTCCTATATGTTTGTCCAACCAAGTTCAATATAGTTTGAATTTTTTTTTTTAAATGAAAGCTTCCAGATGACAAAAGATAAAAACAGATCATTGTATTTATTTTATGGGCATTAATAGCTTGCAGTTTTTCTTTTGAGTATGGTAGGTAGGTGGCAGAGTAGATAGAGTGCCTGGGGTTATGTCAGAAAGACTCATATTCCTGAGTTTAAATCTGGTCTCAGACACTTATTAGCTGTGTGACCCTCGGCAAGTCATTTAACCTTGTTGACCTCAGTTTCATCATCTGTAAAATGAGTTGGAGAGGGAAATGGCAAACTGCTTCATTATCTTTGCCAAGAAAACCGCAATGGGTCACAAAGAAGCAGACTTGACTGAAAAAAGACTGAACAACAACTTCTTTTGAGAAATCCTTTTTCATATCTTTTGACCACTTAACTATTGGCTTCTAATATATTTGTGCTAGTTTCCTGTGTACTTTGTATAGCATCCCTTCTGGGATTCCCCTCAATTTACATTAGTAGGTTACATCCCCAGAATGCGTCTGCTACTTTGGGTTCTAGGAGTAATCCTGTAGTACTCCTAAACTGATAGCATAAGAGCCCCCACCAGTGTCCTTCTCATTAATAGTTAACCATTAAGCAGAATTAGCTCATAGCAAAGATAATTCTTTTGATGGCATGCATGGTAAGGACAGTAGCTACAAAATATCCTTCCCATAAATTTGTGACCCATTCTTCTATACATACACACAAATAGAAATGTCTATGACCTGAGGAAGTCCAAGGGTTCTATATATCCTTAAAAATATTCAAAGCAGCACTATTTAAGGTGGCAAAGAACTGGAAACAAATTAGTGCCTGTTGATTGAGGAATGATTAAACAAATCATGGTATATTAATGTGATGGAAGTTTACTACATTGTAAGAAAAGATGAACATGAAGAATCCAGAGAAGCTTGGGAAGACTTAAAGGAAATGGTACAGAGTGAGGTAAGGAGAAGCAGGAAAACATTATGTACAATGCTACCACAAATTTTTTTTCACAATATAAAGATATATTTAAAATCAAGGAAGAAAAATTGGATAGAAAGAGATATGTCTAATTTGCCTGAGGAGCGAAGGTACAAAAATCACAACATTTCAAGTCATCCATGACTGTGGTCTTGCTTCCCTCCCTTAGGCTCCTGGAGATGATTTGTTTGGGCTGGGCCTGTCCCAGAAAGCCAAAGGCAGGATGGCAGCTGCATTTCCTCCTTCCATTTTATTTTGAAGTTAGAATTTCCAGCTTAAGGCAGAGGAGCTGGCATTAAAGGGCCAGGCTCCTGAGAAAATGAGAGACCTAAAGAACACTTTTAAAGAAAGAATGTCAACAGAAAGAAATAGAATACTGTCATTATAATGATCAAGCTTGTTCTTCAAGAAGATGAAAAAATATACCTCTCCGTTCACTGGAAAAGTAGATGTATAGGTGTGGTACATTGTATATACTGCCAGACCTGTGTTGATGTGTTATTCAGTTGTGTTGAACTGCTGTTTTTCCCTTCCCTTTCATATATATATGTGTGTGTGTGTGTACGTGTGTGTGTGTGTATATGTATGTGTATATATATATGTGTGTATATGTGTATATGTGTGTGTATATATGTGTATATATATATGTAATGAACACACATACACATATATATAGGTATATCTATAGATATTTAGCTATGTTATACCTGTATCTATCGATACAGGTATATATCTCTACTATAGACATACAGAGATAGAGCCATAGATATGTGTATATACATATATATGTATATATATTTATTTACATAAATTTGGTTTGCTGAGGAGGGCAGAGGAGAATAACATATACTGAAATGGAGGTTATGCAAAAGCAAAATCATCAATAAAAACTATTAAGACAAAATAAAGTGAAAGTCTCTATTATCTTCAGTAAATTCTCTTTGGAACATTTAGGGTAAGACATAGAAGATAAGGTTGTGTCCCTTCAGCTTTAGTGGAGAAAATACCCACATCAAGAGATCATCAGGCCACTGAAGTATTTGGCTGTGGATGCCACTATCACAGTGCAGAGCCATCCTTTTAAGTCTGATTGGGGAAAAAAAATTCTGGCATTGTTGGCCGTTGTGGGCTTTGAAATTTGTCATATTCAAATATGAGAGATTTAAAACAGCCTTTTCATTCTCCATTTTGGGGTTTCATTTTGGGGTCTTCATTATTTTTTATTTTATTAGTATATTTTATTATTTTCATTTTTGTTGATATCTTTTTAATATCATCTATATTACCTACTATATTCCTGTCATTCTCTTTCAGACGGCCATCCTTTGTAAAGTGTCAAGAAAAGGAAACAAATTTTGCAATGCTAAACAACATATCAAAAAACTGATATCATATGCAGTAAGCCATACCCATAGTCCCTCATTTCTATAGTGAAGCAAGGAGATTCATTTGAATTTTTAATGGTTTTTTTCTTTTAACATTATACACACACACACACACACATACATTATATATACATGTGTACACATACATATATACATGTATACGTTATGTATATACACATTAACATAATGTATCTATTCTATGTTATAGCTGGAAAAAAAATAATATTAAAAGGATAGTGCTTGGAGTTCAGGTTCATTGGAATATCCTGTACTGAGATTTAGAGAATTAAATGGGAATCTGTTGCTTCTTTACATCTTTTTTCATTAAACACCTCTGACTACTACCTTTCCAAATTATTAAGTACCATTTATATGTGAGGCACTATAGTAGGGATGCAAAAATAAAACAAAACAATAAGCTAGCCCCTGTGCTTATGGACCTTGTATTTTACATACATAATAAAAGTAAGTAAATTGTTATAGCTTTTTGAAGTTTGTGAAATAATTTCCTCACAATGATTCTTTTTAAAAAAAATTTTATTAATTTATTTTGAGTTATCAACAATCACTTCCATAAGCTTTTGAATTTAAAATTTTTCTCCCCTCTCCCTCCCCTTCCTCCCCCAAGACAGTGCACAGTCTGATATACTCTGCATATACATTGCTGTTAAACATATTTTCATATTAGTCATGTTGTCAGGAAGAATTAGAACCAATAGGAGGAACCACAAGCAAAAGGAAACAAAACAAAATAGAAGGAAAAACAAGAGCAAAACTGTGCTTTGATCTGCATTCATACTCCATAGTTGTTTCTTTGGATGTGTATAGCATTTACTATCATGAGACTTTTGGAGGTATCTTGGGTCCTTGCATTGCTGAGAAGGGCTAAGTCTATCAGTGTTAGTCATCGCTAACAGTATGGCTGTTACTGTGTACAACGTTCTTCTGGTTCTGCTCACTTCACTCAGCATCAGTCCATATAAGTCTTTCCAGGTTTTTCTGAAGTCTGCTTGCTTATCACTTCTTATAGCACAATAGTATTCCATTACATTCATATACCAAAGCTTGTTCAGCCATTCCCCAATTGAAGGACATCCCTCAATTTCCAATTCTTTGCCACCACAAAAAGTATTTTTGTATATGTGCGTCCTTTTCCCATTTTTTTGATCTCTTTGAGATACAGCCCTAGAAGTGCTATTGTTGAGTCAAAGGGTATATACATTTTGATAGCCCTTTGGGCATAGTTCCAAATTGCTCTCCAGAATGATGGGATCATTTCACAACTCTACAAACAATGCATTAGTGTTCAAATTGTCCCACATCTTCTCCAACATTTATAATTTTTCTGTTTTGTTATATTAGCCAATCTGTTGGTGTGATGTGGTACCTCAGAGTTGTTTTGATTTGCGTTTCTCTAATCAGTACTCACAATGACTCTTTGACTTTATCACTGCAAGCATTGTTATCAGCAGTGTGCTTATAAATGTTTAAAAACTGGCTCTCCTAACCAAAAAATACATATTAACTTTTTAAAGTTCAATCTGCATTATTATCATGTTTTCCATCACTTTCTTAAGCCTAGATAGTCAACAAAATAATAAATCAAGCCCTTATTTGTAGCATTTGCTCATTTCTGAGATGTAAATGCCCACACTAAAACTTAAAAGTTGGTTATCATGAACCGGTTTGAGCTGGCTCCAGCACACCTCTGTTATCCTCATTTTATAGCTGAGCAAACTGAGTCTTAGATTAAACACCTTGAACATGTTCACATAGCTAAGAAGTGTCAAAACTAGGATCTGAACCCAGATCATCCAGTTGCAAATCTAGGTCTCTTTTCAGTGCACCATACTGTCTGTAATTTAAATTTATGTGTTACCTCTCCTGAGTTTAATGTTATTTTAAGCCTTCTCTGCAGTTATGGAATGAAAGGCTTTGTCTGTATTAAGGGAATTCTAGGCATTATAAAGATCTGATAAGATGTATTGCAAGGTGTGTGAAAGACTCTTTTTGCCCCCTTGAAATTATTGTAGCAAAATAGCTTCCTGCTTTACCTTGGATAAAACCAGCTCTGAAAATGTGGTATAGAAGATCCTCATCAAGTCTTTGTCTATTGCATAGACTGCCTTATGAAATGGCACCATGAAAGCTACGATTAAATGGACTGTTAATGCTTTATTTCCACAATATGAATCAGTTGGTATAAACCAACTGGCTTTTGACTGCTCTAAGAGTACATTCGTTCTTTGTCTCCACATGTATTTCTGATTAACTAAAACCTTATCACAGTCATCACTGGAAAACAGTATTTTTCCATAGAGAAGAAAGAAAAAGAGTCAAGTAAATTGACAGTGAGTTCTTGTGATATTTGATTTATTGTCTTTAAAAATAATTTTTTCTTTTCTTTTTTCCTAATGATATTTTCTTTGCCACCAGAGAGACAATGAAAAGAAAAGTTAATGGGAACAGTTGTAACAGCCCCAGTATCAGTAGCCCAGGCTCAAAGAGGGATGCCCACTTCTGTGCTGTCTGCAGTGATTATGCTTCTGGTTACCACTATGGTGTGTGGTCGTGTGAGGGATGTAAGGCATTCTTTAAAAGGAGCATTCAAGGTAGGAAAGTTCGCTATATGTTTTATTGTTTTAGTTTTGTTTAGTTTTATTTTTCCAGAATTTGTTGTAAACATTTTGCAGAAGTTTCCTAAAATTTTTCAACTAAATCTTTATGGCAACCGAAATGCAAGAGACGGAGTTTACCAGGTCTCCTCTCAGGCTGGTCAAAGTTGATATTATGCTACGTAAGGAGACCTCTTTAATGTGCAAGATGAAAAATAAGTATTTCCAATTTCCATCCTCATAACTGAAATATGACATTGTGATAGAGGTTATTTTTCCTCGTAGAAAATTTAAATGTAATCCACAGAAAGAAAGATTCATTTCAAGTCTCAGCCAAACTCAATTAGGTTCATTTTCTTTGGGAAGCCCTGATGTAAGGAAGGAAGTCAACAAGAATTTAGTAAATGTTGTTATGTGCTAAGTAACTGTGCTAAGCACTGGGCATACAAAGATAATCCTAGAGAAAGGTAGTCTTGCCCTCAGGGAACTTACATGCTAATGTGGGAAAGCAACACACAAAAGGGAGTTGAAAAAGGGGACTCAGTGAGGGGGGAATATAACTGGGACAAGGGCATGATTTTAACCCAGCAGGAACGTGCAATATCAGGAATAGGGGCAGGAGGACAAGGCAGGACAGCCTGACTCCTTCACAAAATGGAGGCTCCTCGAGTAACTCAGAAATGGAAGGAGATGGGTTGAGCCTCGTAGGTAATAGTATATTCCAGAGTGAAGAGGCCCCAGCCAGTAAGTAAAGTTCCAGGATGAAACAACAGAACCATTATTTTGAAGAAAAGTTCCTTTTAGGGGCAGCTAGGTGGCGCAGTGGATAGATCACTGGCCCTGAAGTCAGGAGGACCTGAATTCAAATGTGGTCTCAGACCAAACACTTGACACTTACTAGCTGTGTGACCCTGGGTAAGTCACTGAACCCTAATTGGGCCCTCCCCCCCTCAGAAAGGTACATTTTTTTGGAGATAAAGTCAGTCTTTCCAGCAAATAGGGTAGCATTCAGTGCCTTAAAAGGAAAATATTTAGCCATAAAACATTTTGAGCATTGGGCTAGATGGTTTTTGCCCCATTTTGTAGGCTTCCCTTTACTCTTTCTTCCTGTACTATCTTTACTGTTTACTTCCATCTCACTTTTCTGCTTACTCTTGAGAGACCACTTTTTCTTTTCCTCAAAATCTAGAGGTACTCCATTTATCATTTTCATTTCATATTTAAACATTGTGTAGATGTTTTCAGGCTTACTGCCAATCATCTCTTACATCATGTATCTATTCCTTTTTCTCCTTTACGTACCCTAAGCAATACCTCACATTTATACAAGATGTCGCAAAAGTTGTAGTGTTCTTTTAAAGAACTTAAAACTGTAGTAAGATTTTTGGCAAATAGATGCAAATCTCTTTATATAAGTCCTCAGTCCTATAAGGTATGTGTAACAAATAATATATCCTCATGGTACCGATGAAAAATCTGGACCTTTTAGAGGTAAACTGATCAAGTTCATACTGCTGATAAGTGACGAAGCTTGGGCTACAATTCAGGTCTTTTGATCCAGTATGGTATTCTTTCCATTATAGTATAAAGCTTTTTTTTTCCATGTGCTCCTTTAATGAAGGAACAATTGTGAAGTAGTTTGTTGTCTGTCTCTTCTCATCTCGGTTGGCCCTTTTCTTACTCTAGCACCTCACCTGGACTAGCTTCTACCTAGCATTGTCCATTACCCAAAAGTTCCCTTTCATTTTTTCCTGAAAATTTTTAATTTCTCAGTGATTCTTTCTTAACTACCTGTCAAGGAACTCATGAATCTGAAACTAATTCCTGCTCTAAGTTATAAATGATTGGTGATAAGTGTCAAATCTGCATTTTTGACTTTCTTTTTTTAAGGCAATTGGGGTTAAGTGACTTGCCCAGGGTCACACAGCTAGTGTGTCAAGTTTTGGTCTGAGGCTGGATTTGAACTCAGGTCCTCCTGACTTCAGGGCTGGTGCTGTATCTACTGCGCCACCTAGCTGTCTCTTCAAATTTGCATTTTTAAAGAGAATACATTTTGCGCAAGAAAATAACACCTTAATGGAATGTCAGCTGCATGCTGCATAAAGTATTCCTATCTCAGGTTCTTCTTGATATTTTCATAATTTGTAGGTGACCAGATCTAATCTGCCTATGCATTAAGCTACCTTTACCTCCTTTTCATTCTCCCACATCTTTGCCTTCAGTTTTATCTACAGCATGTTTCTATTTTCTGTGTGTCTTCTGATTTCTCTTCCCTCTGCTCATTCAGAGTTCTTTGTAAAATCCCACTTCTACTGATGCTTCTTGGCAGAAAGATGGTAGACCAGACCCCTCTGGAATGAGGCGTGTGTTTCCAGATAGGTATTTTATTTTGCTGAACTCCTCTTATTTGTTACGAGGGAGAATTCTCTTACATTTGTTTAGGGAGTTCTTAGGAATTGAGAATTATGTAACAAAATACAAGAAACACATGAAAATAAAATTACATCTCTTCTTTTCTATTACCCCACTAATGTAGTGGCCAAGGTGTTAACAGCTGATCTCTGCTAATTCACACCCCTACACTGTTTAAATTGGAACCAAGGGATAGTGTCCAGACAACAGAAGAGGTTCCTACTACCAAACTAATATTTTAGTGGCAGCTAGGTGGCATAGTGGATTGAGCACCATGGTGCTCTGCAGTCAGAAGGACCTGAGTACAAATCTGGCCTCTGACACTTGATATTTACTAGCTGTGTGACCCTGGGCAAGTCACTTAACACCAACTGCCTTGCAAAAAACAAACAACCACAAAAGCAAAACCCTAATATTTTAATTCAAAGATTAGTTAGCATCTAGCTGAGCACAAAGTAGGTATCTGGGAAAGAGAGAAGCAGAATGCAGAGGGAGGGACACAAAATAAGAAGGTATAAGATTCATTCATTCCTCTTCTTTTTTCCTTTCTTTCTCTGGCTTCCAGTAAAGCCAAAGAAACATGACTCAGGCTGATAATCAGAAAGTATACATATTATTATTATAAGAAAAACTTGGCAGAAAAAAGGAGGGAATTATTTTTAAGTTAACGAGATCTTCACATTATTTTTTAAAACTCTTTCCCCCAAAAAATGTGCATTTTATTTCAATAACTCTCCTAATGTAGTTTTTAGTGATCTTTCAGTTACAGTAATAAAGAATAATGTAATTTTGTCACATGTTCTTTCATGTGACAAAGTTTTGACACTGGAATATTTGGCTTTGTTTCAGAAGTGAAGTCATGATCTTTATTGTGTGAGCTCTTGTGTAACTCTATTTCTCTGAACTCTTCATGTTATTTTACTTTCTCATTTTTTAAAACAGATTTTTTGATATGGGTTATCATTGTAGAATCTTTTTTTTTTAACTGAGGTTTGTCTGAATGGTTTTCAGAATTCAGGGAGATTCTTAAAAGCCTTACAACTGCTTTAGAGAAGACAGTAGAATTATGCTTAACTTTTAAAGGGAAATAGCAGGTTTTTCAGTTATAAACATTTTCAGGAACTAAAATGTGTGGTGGTTGTACGTTCTCAAAGAGGACCAAAATTACATCACCTTGTTGGTATCAAGGTACAGTGTGTCCAACTATGGCTGATCAGACCAATAGGAGCTTAGAAGGCTTTACCATGGGTGGAGCACAAACAGTCCACAGCAATATCTGTAGTAGAGATGTCTCTAAATGTGTACATCTCACGTTTCTTTTGAGCTATTCAGTTCTTCTTTTTTGGAGAGCCTGGAGCCTTCTTTGATGTGGGCACGTCGTGCTGGGTGGTCCTGTACCAGTCTCCCATGTCTCCACTTGATTCTAAAGTTCTTCAGAGTGACCTTGAGAATGTCCTCATGTTGCTTCTTCTGACCTCTACGTCAGCACTTGACTCGTGTGTTTTCCGTAAAATTATCTTTTAGACAAACGTACTTTTGGCGTTCAAACGATATGGTTCATCAGAATTGTGCTCTCTGCCATAGAGTTTGGGTGCTAGCTAACTTACTGTAAAGGAAGACAGAAGCTATGGTAGGGTAATTACCTTCCCTGTTTTTGTTTTGTTTTGTTTTAAGAGAACTCCAAAGCACAAATTTTTTGCCTGGTAGGACCAAGGGAAAACAATAAAGACCCTCTATGTCTAAAGTGATTTGGATTTTTTGTCAAAGGACATTTGAAGAAAGGTGCTTGTTACTGTTGTAATTCAATTTAAGCATTTAATTAGGGCTTGTTTTGTGCAGGACCTCATGCTAGAGCCTATCCCTGCCCTTGCTGAATTTACATTTTATTATTTATATTCCCAGATAAGTACAAGAAAAGGTAGAGAGTGAAGAGGGCAAGGAAAAGTCTGAGGAAGTGTTCTGGGTATATTTGTTAGGGGTTTGACTCCCTCATGCATGAAGAGAAACCTGTAGGTGATAGCCCTAATAAAATTTCATTTTAGAAAAGTTAATTTTTTCTGTTTTCTTTAGAAAACAAAACTGTGCTGAGGTATATTTTCTTCTTCTCTTTGAAAGAATGTTTATTCCAGTATCACAAATTCACATAAAAAAGCAGTCATTCAGTGATAACACAGTTCTATAGGATGTATTATCTAAATTTTGCCTATTTTTGTGCTTGTGATAAAAATCAATCACAAATCACTTTCATGAATCAGTGGTTACTAGGGAAGTGCAAAATTAAATTAATTCTCTTGTTAATTAAATCATGTTTTTTTGCTAGAAGTGCTGTGGCCATGACTATTTAACCTTGAAGATGTTTTGAATATCTTTTCCTTTGCCTTCAGAAATTTCTGTTGTCTACCAAATGAAGTAGCAGTTCTGTTTTCAGGCACAGGTTTAGAAATGGCCAGTCATAAACACTCGGTCAACACACATCCAAAAACCTACCTGTAAAAAGTCTAGTCCAGCAGCCTACCTTGAACTTCTTTGGGTGACCTTTGTTCCAAAATTGAACTCCTAGGGACGCATTTCCCCGGCTAATGAGTCCAGAAAGTGATTGGAGGCTTTATTAAAACATAGTAATAGCCAAGATTTACATAGCAGCTTAAGGTCTGCAAAGTACTTTAAAATATTATCTTGTTTTATCCTTACAATAACTTTGGGAGGTAGATGCTAATTTTAAAGATGATGAAAGTGAGACAGACTTGTAAGTGACTTGTCTAGGGTCACACAGCTGTCAAATGTCTGAGGCCGCATTTAAACTCAGGTCTTCCTGAATATAGGTCCAGTGCCATATCCGTTGTCCTATCTAGGTGCCTCTAAATAGATCTCTGGAACGTTTAAATGCTTCTACGGGGTGGGGGAAGGGTAAAGATATGAAAAATACTTTAATAAAATGGGGCAAGCAAACATTGGAGCAAAACGTAGAGTGTCCCAAAAGTCTTAGGGCAGTTTTAAGCTTTAATAATCTCAAAAGCATTAATAGCATCTAATAGACTTTTGGAGACATCTATGTAAGGAAACAGTGTGAGGTAGTAGAAAGAACATTGTCCTTGGACTAAGAAGGCTTGAATTTCTATCCTGCCTCTCCTTCACGCTGACTTACAGAATTTGGGGCAAGTAATTTTGTCCTTATGTACCTCAGTTTCCTCATTTGTAAAATGAGGGTATTGGACTAGATGATCTCCAGTGTCCCATCCCGCTTTAGCATTCTGTGTCTGGAGTCAGGATCATATGGGAAAATTTGGCTCATGAAATGTTTCATAGGGATAATATTTAATGTTTTAAAATAAAAATAAATTGATATAATCAAAATTTCCCCCATAGAACCTCTTGTTATATGATTGGGAACACAACTAGGGAAATGCTGAATGGGAATGACTGACCTAGACAGCTGCCTTCCTTTATTCCAAGAAATCAAGGCAACAAGCTGTGTGCCAATCACTGAATTAACACTGGGGATACAAAAAAAAAGATTAAAAACCACCCTAGCCTTCAAGAGGTTCACCATCTAATGGGGAAGGAGAAACCTATTTATCTGCCTCTGGCAGAACTACAACTTTAACTACCTGTTGGACATCTCAAATTGAATAAGTTATCATGTCCAAAACTGAACTCATTTATCTTTCCCCCAAACTCTCGCGTCTTCTTAGGTTTCCTATTACTAGACATTCAGGCTTACAACCTAGGTGTCATCCATGACACTGCACTCTCTCTCATCCCTCATATCCAGACTTGCAAAGGGTTTTTATTTAATCTTTGTGCCATCTCTCACATGCAGCTGCTACTCTCCACGGGTATTGCTGCCATCTTGGGGCAGGTCCTCATCACCTCATGCCTGGAATATCGCAATAATCTTCTGTTTGGTTTCCATGCCACAAGTCTCTCCCCATTCCAGTCCATCCTTCACTCAGCTGTCAAACTGATGTTCCTAAAGTGCAGGTCTGATCATGTCACCCCTCTGCTCCGTGAACTCCAGTGGCTTCTTCTCTTCTCCAGGATCAAATATAAAATCCTCTGTTTGACATTCATGGCATTACCAGTCTTCTTAAACCTTATTCACTACCTTGTAACCGCCCATGTACTCTGCAATCCGCTGACACTAACCTCTTTGCTGTTTCTGTCATGACACTCTGGGCATTTAAACAATTTTTTTTATGTTTTTATTTTTAGGCAATTGGGTTAAGTGACTTGGCCAGGGTCACACAGCTAGTAAGTGTTAAGTGTTTAGTCTGAGGCCACATTTGAACCCAGGTCCTCCTGACTTCAGGGCCGATGCTGTATCCACTGTGCCTCCTAGCGGCCCCCTTCACTCTGGGCATTTTTAATAACTGTATCCCATGCCTGGAATGTTCTTTGTCCTTGTCTTCTCCTGGCTTCTTTCAAGTCCCAGCTAAAATCCTTCTTTCTACAGGAAGTCTTTCCCCATCCACATTAATTCTAGTGTCTTCCCTATTGATTATTTCCAATTTATCATGTATATGACTTATTTGTACATATTTTTTTGCAAGTTGTCTCCCCTATTAGAGCTCTTTGAGATCAGGGACAACTGTCTTTTGCCTTTCTTTGTATCCCCAGATCTTAGAACAGTGCCTGGCATTTTGTAGGTGCTGGATAGAAGCAATGTTATAAAAAGTAATTAGATACAGTTGAAATAGTCACATGAATATTCCACTTACTGGACATGTGGGTTTGCTAGGCTTCTGTAGGCCAGCCTGGAAACCTAATTACCGTTTATGATACTATAGCTATGGGGAAATAGATTCAGAATTCAAAACAAGGATCATGGAAAAACTTGGGGACTCTTCCAGCAGTAGCAGTTTATTGACAAAACACACCAAATTTTCCATTTTGAGACATCGAGTTTCTTGTCTTCATTTTCACTAAGATTACAAAAATTACTTGGCCTTTTTGTTTATTCCTTATCTGAATGCTGTGGGCTTTCTCACACACACACACACACACACACACACACACACACACACACATTTAATTTTGTATTTAAAATGTAAGGAAGAAAGCAGGGAGAGATAGATAAGCATGTAAGTATACAACTTGTTTGCATGGCTGTCTCATTTCCATGTATGAATAGGTTCAAGAGAGATTTCTAATGATACCCATTTTTTTCAGAATAAAGTATGAACGCAGAGGCAGAGAATGGGGTAATCTAAGTCACTTTACTTACATTATATTTCACATTACATTGGGATATTGTAAATGTCCTTGATCTTTGAACCTACATGTCTTTCTTTGATTTCAGTGATACCTCATGGCTTGTTCCTTCATGCCAGAAGGCTTTTGGTCTTTTAGCTGGTAGGAAGAGAAAGCAAAACATTTCAGCTATGCTGTGTTACTACTGTTGTTCACCAGAAGGTGCATAAACAAAATATTGTAATCATAAATTTCCTTTTTTCTGGCTTTTTTTTAAAAATAGGACATAATGATTATATTTGTCCAGCTACAAATCAATGCACGATTGATAAGAATCGACGCAAAAGTTGCCAGGCTTGTAGACTTCGGAAATGTTATGAAGTTGGAATGATGAAATGTGGTGAGCTTACTTCCACGTTTACTGTATTTTACTCACCTAAGGTCTCTTGCTAACTGTATTATTTCATACTGATTTAATGTATAATACACGTACAATAGCATATGTGAATATATAACTATATTAGCTGATACAATTGCACATTATATAAATCTACAACTGTCTTGTATAATATAATTTCATATTATATAAATATAGAATTATAGTGCCTAATGTATTTATACAGTCATGTGTGAACATAAATTACCTAATATAATTACATATTATATGCAAATATGTTATTATATTGCCCAATATAATTATATATCATGTACAAATATATAATTATATTGCTTAATATAATTATATATTATATGCAAATATATAATTACATGACCATATCATTAACTGTAGTATTTTTATGCTATAGGAACTGAATTCAACTTTAATGAAACCAAAAGTTTATCAAATTGTGAATTCAATGAAAATGGACCAGTTTTCACCCAAAGTCTTATGATATTAACTATAGGTAAATGAATTCAACTTATAGTGAAACCAAAAGTTAATGAAATAGCAGGTTCGGTATGAATGGACCAGTGGCGTTGGAGAGAGGAGAAAAGGAAGCTAGGCTACATTGATTGTCATGAATCCATGAGGGTTTTGATGAGCCTTTCTATGATTCGACAGGATTTTGGCCAAGGCTAGGATGGCAGAGGTAGAGAGGACCGGGAATGATTTCTGTGAACCTATTAGAAATCTTTCAATGTGACTCTGTGATGAAAGGATGCCTTGGAATTAATCAGGGACTTGGAGTTTCTCCTTGAGAATGCTTTTCCTTTCCTTTCCTTCTTACTCCCCACCTTGCCCCCACATCCCTCCTACATGTTGTTGTTATTGTTAGTGTTGTTCAGTGATATCCAACTCCTTGTGACTTCATGGACCGCACTGCCTGTGGAGTTTTCTTGGCAAAGATACTAGAGTGGTTTGCCATTTCCTTCTCTAGTGGATGAAGGCAAGCTGAGGTTAAGTGATTTCCCATGGTCACACAGCTAGTAGGTGTCTTAGGCTGGGTTAGTCATGCATGTTCAGTGAAACATTTATTAATTGCAAAGCACTGGGCTAGATGGTGAGGATACAAAGGCAAAACCAAAAATCCCCGCTGTCTGGGGGCTTACAATCTATTGGCAGGTGGGTATAGAAGGAAGATTATGATATAGATATGTGTGTGTGTGTGTGTGTATGTATATGGGTATGTATGTATACACACACAAAATGTGTATCAGATGAGGTATTTTAAGGAAGAAAACCTAACTAAATTGCTAGATTTAGGGACCTTCACAGAACAGGTGATACCTGAGCTGAGTCTTGAAAAAGGCCAAGATTTTCAGAGGTAGAAATGAAGTGAAGGCATATTCCAGGCATGGGGAACAATTTGTACAAATGTGTAGAGGCAGGAAATGAGATATTTTATTCTGAGTCTAGCTAGGGGTCCCTTTTGGCTGGAGCAGAGTTTATGAATTATCTTTATGATGGACATTTGTGTAGGACTTTGAAGTTTCAAAGCACTTTATGTTCATTCTGAACAACACTCTGGGGTTGGTAATATAGGTATTATTATCCCAGTTTTACAGATGGGGGAACTGAGGCTCAGCCAGTCATCTAGCATTTATTAAGTACCTTCTATATGCCAGGCACTGTACTTAGCACTGAGGATACAAAGAAAGCAAAACACAATCCCTGCTTTCAAGGAGCTCACAGTCCACTGGGGAAGAAAACAGATGAACAAGTATATATAAACAAACCTTTTCAGTCGTGTCTGACTCTTTGTGACCCCATTTGGGTCTTCCTGACTCCAGGCCCAGCACTCTATCCACTGCACCATTTACCTGGTCAGACAAGATATAGACAGGATAAATGGGAGATAACCACAGAGGGAAGGCCCCAGGATTAAGGAGGATTAGGAAAGGCTTCTTGAAGAAGGGGAGATTTCAGCTGGGAATTGAAGGCAACCAAGGAATGTGAGTCGCAAAGATGAGGAGGGAGAGAATTCCAGGCATGGAATTGGAGAGAATTCCAGGCAGGGAAAAATGCTTGGAATCTGCAGAAGTAGCACTGAGGGATGCTAGTGTCTCTGCATCCCATAGCACCTGGGGATATGTAAGAAGACCAGAAAGGTAGAAAGGTGCCAAGTCGTGGAGGACTTTCTAAAATCAAGCAGTGGATTCTTATATTTGATCTTGGAGGTAACAGGGAGCCACTGGGGTTGATTAACTAGAGGGTGACATGGTGAGATTTGCACTTTAGGAAGATTAATTTCATAGCTGAGTGGAGAATGGACTGGAATGGGGAGAGATTGGAAGCAGGGAGGATTAGCCAGCAGGCTGCATCACCAGCATGGACTAATAGTCCAGGCACAAGGTGATGATGAAGGTGAAGTGTTTTGCCTGTGGTCCCATAGTGTGTGTTGGAGGGAGAAATCAAACCCAAGTCTTCCTGACTCCAAATCCATTCTGGAAAGGAAAGTCAGAGTAAGGGAGTGGAAGCCTTTAAATGCACACCAAAGAGCTTGTATTTTATCCTTGTGTCAGTGGAATGTTTTCAAGAGGCAGCATGACACGGTCAGATCTTTAATGTGATTAGGTTATTTGGGCTGAGGTGTGGAAGATGAGGAAGGCAGGGGGATCAGTGGGGAAGCGTGTAGAGTGGTCTGGTTCATTTAGTCAATAAGCATTTATTAAGTGCCTGCTATGTGCGTGGCACTGTGCTAAGTGGTGGGAATACAAAAAGAAGCAAATGATAGTCCCTGTCGTCAGGGAGTTCACAATTAAGTGATGGTAAGGGTCTGCTCTAGCGTGGGAGCCATGTGAGGGAAGAGGAGAGGGATGTGAGCAATGCTATGGAGATGGAATGGACAGGACCTGGAGACTGCCTGGGGATGGCCAGTGAGTTAGAGGCAAGAATCAATAATCATTCCCAGCTTACACACTGAGGTGACTGGAAGGATGGTGGTGCCTTTAGACGTGCTGTTTGATTTTCAGGTGCAGATGACATGGGAAAAGAGAGTTCAAAAGAGAGAATCTGAACTCACGGAAAAATGTCACCAGGGTAGAAAGTGAATAAGGACACCTTGGTGGTGCAGTGGATAGAGCACTGGGCCTGGAGTCAGGAAGACTCATCTTCCTGAGTTCAAATGCAGCCTCAGATACTTACTTGCTGTGTGACCCTAGGCAAGTCACTTAACACTGCTTGCCTCAGTTTCCTCATCTGTAAAATGGTCTGCAGAAGCAAATGGCAAAACACTCCAGTGTTTTTGGCAAGAAAACCCCAAATGGGGTTACAAAGAGTCTAACAGGACTGAAACAACTGAATAACAACAAAAGAAAGTGAATAAAAGGGCCAAATGAAGTAGGAACTGAGAAGAGGATGTTGGATTTAGCAGTTAAGTCATAGCCAGTATTGTTCAAAATATACAATGAGAGTGTCTGAAAACCAAAACCTGAGCCAGAAATCATGGTTCACACCAGTTATCCTGCTCCTGGAGAAGTTAGAAGCAACCTAAATGCTCATCAAAAGGCGGATAGGTAAATACACTGGTGCTTAAATAAAACAGAATACTGTGACATCAGACAGACAAGTGCAAGGAATGCATGAAAAGTAATTGTCTCATGCGGTCCTCCCAACCATTCTTGAAGGTGGGTTCCATAACTAGAGTCTTTCCTTATTTTGATGCACTTCCTTTTCTCGTGTAAGGGAATCTCTTGATTTCTAGCATAATAGAAAAATGTTATATATATATTTTATTCACAGAATTAGGATGCTAAAATAGGTGACAAGACATTGATCTCTCATGCCTGTGCTAGCTCTAATCATCAATACTCATGGTAACTCACTCTTACATATTACATCTTCATTGTTTGCAAAGTCCTTTACATAAATTATCTCATTTTGCTCTCATAACAATCCCCTGAAACAGGTACAATAAGTATTATGTTCTCTTTCACAGATTTGGAAACTGAGACTTAGGGAGATTAAGTGATTGACCTGTTTTTGTGTTGCTAATAAGCCTGAGAGGTGGGGTTCAAACCCAAGTCTTCTTGACTCCAAGACCACAGATCATCCAATGTGAACTCCCTTAGTTTCCTTTCTTTCAACTTCGGAATCTCTTGTTATCTTCTTAGTCTTTTCCCTGAGCAAGGATACCTCCTCCCTGCCAAGGCTAACCCTTGCACATGTGCCTTTGATCATATATTTTCCAGTCTACTGAATGGCCTTGTTAAGAGTAATCATCCTTCCTTGTCTTGCACCTTCAATTTTTTGGTTCTCCACTGATTTCTTTCTCTGTCTGTAAACATTCTCAGGTTTCCCTTATCATTTAAAAAAAAAAAGCAAGCACAGAAAAATCTTCTTTAGGGTCTGCTATATCCCCTCAAACTCCTAGGCTATTTCTCTCTTTCTCTTCAAAGCCAAACTAATGATTTTCTGTTTTCTAGTCTCCCCCCTCTCCAATACCTCCTCCACACAGCTGCCAAAATAAGGTTGCCTGAAGGATTGCAATCCTAAGGCACCAGTCTGACCATATATCCTCCTTCTCCTCTCCCTCCTCACATCTTTCCTAATTTATACCTCTGGGATAAAATAGAAACAATTCAGTCTGGCACTTAGAGCTCTTTGTATTCTGGTTCCAAACTATTTTTCAGTCTTATTTCATATTTCTCTCTTTTACGCACTCTACTTTCCAATCAGATTGACCTACTAAACCTTTCCTGAACTCTTGCCCTTTCAGTGGGACCTAGAGTTGGAATCTCTAAGCTCTAATCCAGCCTCAGACACTTACTAGCAGTTTGAGCCTCTGCAAGACACAACCTCTGCCTCAATTTGCTTCATCTATAAAATGATTGTTTTGAGGATAAAATATTGATAAAGTTCTTTGAAGACCTTAAAGTATTATGTAAATGCTAGCTATTATTATTATTTTTTGTTTTTATTATCTTCCCTTTCTGAATATAAACATAGACTTACGTACC